ATATTTCTGGTATCGCGAGATACTTTATATGACAGTAGACAAAGGACTGTTGCGCGGCCATGATTCAAATATAAAAACAAGCTAATGAGTAATCTCTCAGGTGTTAATGTGCCTCATACTGACTTTGAGCGAGTTGTTCTGGATAGAAATAACTGGAGATATTTGTTCCAAAGTGGTATCAGAAATTTTGAAATCAGTCAGTGTAGCCTAACACATATGTTAACTGAATTATTCTCGTAAATGTTCATTATATAAGTCATATTCAGTATTGAAATAAAATGTATTATGATAACGTTTGCATTTGGTAGCCTAAAGCAGGCGTCGGCAACTTGAGGCACGCGTGCCACTCGCGGCACGTCAAGCAATTTCCAATGGCACGCAGCCTCAAATGACATCATGAACTCCGAACCAATAACTACTACAACGCAAAGAAGATATTTAGCTGTTTCAATTGTAATATATACTAAAGTATATAAACTATATATTACTGTATAAAATGTATTGTAGAACAGGTAGATTGACCTTCACTTGTATAAAAATAGTTATACTGTTGGCACACTGAATGATTTTAAAAAGTCGGCATATAGTTAGCGAAAGGTTTCCAACCCCTAGCCTAAAGAATTGTTTAGGTGAAAATATCATTGTTGCTTTTAAATGACTACTTTCATAAAATCCCAAATCGTAACTTTTATTCTTCTTGTATAAGACTTCGACAGAAAAACAACCATAGTAGATTGAAATAAGTTTAGAATTAGTGAGATTAGCCGAGTTCGAATTACAGTTACGTGCTAATACCTCTGGGAAAGGTATGAATCCTTTTCTTCTCCCCCCCCCACCTATGGGTAAATAGCAGGACATACCGGGTTTTATTGCTTTGGTTGGAAAGTTGTCTACTGCAGAAAGAAATGGCAACCTACTGCAGGAAAAAATCCGCCTCGTCAGTCATGTATCGAAAGATACATGATCCCCTAAGCGTTTATCACGCATGGCAAATAACTGAGTGACTGAGATTAGCTTTAATGTAGGTCATCAAGTAAAAAAGATATTTCTCCAATTAAAACCATAGACAATGCAACAGATTATGCTGAAATACAAATATATTGTGTAATAATGGTTTTGTCATTGATGTACTTAAATGTTATATTTAAAATTTGTTATATTTATGAGGAAAAGGCTGCTCTATATCTCGATAAATTGATTAGTAATTCTTTTACATTTGCAGGTTATTTAAGGCCAAAAATGCGCTTTTTAGAGTATAAATATTTTTGAGATAATAATAATTTACTGATAAAATTCATAAAAATTAACCCATAGCTGGGGGAAAAGAGGCAGATTCATACGTTGCCCAACGGTATTTACGTGTAAACGAATTTAACAAATCCGACTGGAATTGGAACTTGACTTTCCGACTTCCAACGCCGCTTACACCACCCGCACATCCAAGATTACATCCATCCAGGTAATGCTCAGGCTCGATATTGCTTAACTTCGGTGATCGTACGAAAGCCAGTGTTTCGATGTAGTATGATTGTAAGCCATCTGCACGGTGACTGATGGTCGCATAAGGTGTGAAACTGCCTAAACATTCAGCGTTGATTTTTACATCCATAAGGTTTATGTTTATATATATATATATATGTGTGTGTGTGTGTTTTGTGTGTGTGTGTGTGTGTGTGTGTGTGTGTGTGTGTGTGTGTGTGTGTGTAGCTTATATACAATTACAAATACGAAAATAAAGTCCTTTTGCACATCTTCAACCACTTCGTGACCAAAAAGATAAAATCAAATACCATAGCATAATTATCACCAAATCTTAGAACCACAGAAAAGAACATAAAAGAAAAAAATACACAAAACAAATAATTAAATTAATAATATAACTGAAAAAATAATAACTATAATATAAGTAATCTGGAGATAATAACCATAGCTAAACCTAGCCCATTGACAGACACACTTCCTCCAATTACCCAACAAGCATAAATAAGGATTATAATGGTTCATCAACGTATATGGCCCCAATATTGGCTCAAAACAAAACTGACGGGAAGTTCTGGTCTTCTCAGTGACCTACATATACAACAAGCTATATATGCAGTGTGGGATGGATAACTTGTCGTCGAAATTACGCACAAATCAAAATAACACTAACATCTCATTTTAACAGATATATTTACTAAAATTAAACGAAAATATCTTGAAGTAGAAAAGAGTAAATTTATTCAATAAAATCGCCACGGCCTCCAGATGACTTCGGAATCGCCTGCAACTCTTCTAGACGGTCGCCTTGTTTAAGTTGATGAATGTTGCCATAATCGTTGCCTTCAGTTCATCTTTGTTCAGTTCAGTTTGGTTGGTCTCTCGCTCAACTCCATCCCAAACATAATAATCAAGCGAGGTTGCCGTCTGGGGAGTTAGGTGGCCAGATATAAGGTGTGATATGGTCGCAGTAATTGTCTGACAATCATGTTATCAGACATATGGTCTTCCAGCAGTTGCCCTCTTGACCTAGTGCAGTATTACCTCCTCAAGGCATATGATGTAGGACTCCATTTGCAGTCTGCGGCCCTTACCAACAAATTCGGGATGTCTTTTCTTATCAGAACGATCAGAGTGAGTTTTCCGAGCTGACGTATCTTTGTAATTACTATTAGGCTCATCTAACTCTTTCCGAATCTTCTGCATTGTTCTCAGATTGACTGCCTTAAGGACACATGGCACAGTGGATAAAGGTGTTAGTTAGATCCAGTGACAGGACCCAAAGTGTGTGAGTTCAATACCCGTTTAAGGCAGTGGAGAACTTGGAGAGGGAAATTAACAGGAGATAACTGATAACTGACATCCATTAAACATGGCACGTGGAACTAGAACAGTCTACCCCAGTGAGCGAATTAAAGGGTTCAGTTCGACATTCCAACCACGTGAAGAAGGCCGGAGCATACAACGGCTGAAACGTTGTAATAAATACGGAGACAAAGATGAGGACAATAGTTCGAATAATGTAAATAGTGTATATAATACCTCATCTCAGAAATATAGGCAGAAACAACACGTATGCTCGAAATTAAAAAGAAAAAAGGCGACAATTTACCCATCGAACCCTGTACACCTTAAAGAAATCTTGGCACTTGATCTGATGATCTCACTGAAGCGTGAAACTGGCAGTCAACATATAGTGTCAACACTTCTCTCCACTCTCTTTCTCTCTACCCATATATATGCTAAATGACGGTTCCGTATAGGATACAGGTTCGAATCCTGTCGGAGGACGAATATTTTCTGTGACAATTTCTCGGACATTCAGGTCGGTAAATGTTGTTCAATACTGTTTATTATAAACAGAGCATTTACTTAAATATTTGTATCTATAAAAAGAATATAAACATAAAAATGTCTTAATATATATATATATATATATATATATATATATATATATATATATATATATATATATATATATATATGGCTGGGTGTTTGTGTTTCCGTATGTTTCTACGTGCGGGTATGCAGAAAAACTGAAATAAATATCAACTAAAGACCAATTATAAATTAACTTATTTCTAACCTAAATACTTGACGCGTGGGTAGATCTAAGCGAGTTTATGTCTACATATATTTATATCTTTTTTAGGTACGTAGTTATGTTTAAGTATGTGGAAATGTTTTTGCCAAAAACCTCGTTATCGAGTTTTCCAAAAACAGCGTTGAGTATTTTTGCACACGTTATATTTGATTATATCAATGAACTGAAGTTCAATAATTATTTGTACTTATTAAATATTTGTATATATATATAAATATATATATATATGTGTGTGTGTGTGTGTGTGTGCGCGCGCATGTGTGTGTATGCGTATGTTTTATTTGTACTTCTTAAGATATTGACATTAATGATATATATGAAAAGCTAAAATCTATCTTATCTTTATCACAAATAGGTGATGACATTTATAAAATAAAAATCCGTTGCAAACTTCACCAATGCCTAGTGACTTTGAAACATTTTATATATGTTCAGTATTAGTAGTAGTAGTAGTAGTAGTAGTAGTATTCTATCTCTTCTGATAATGCCAGCGTCTTGGTTGATAGTTCGAATTTACTATCTCTTCTTCCTTCTTTTTGTTTCTGTTCTCCAGCTGTTGGTTTCACCTTTATATCTTTAGCTTCCTTAGATTCCTCAAAACTACATAGTCCCAGCAGCTACTTTCGTCTGCAAACATTTCCCGTCCGTCTGAACACCAGATTTGAAAAAGAGCTTGAAGACATCCTTGAAGCCCAGTACGAGGCTTCCCGTTGAGCAATGTGCCAGCTCGATGTATGTGACATCCATTGGTGTACGTCTGACCTTCATACGGTGAAAATCTATCGCAGTTAGCGCTTGACAGAAAATAAATGAATACTCTGACATTAACTGTCATAGAGAAGAGTACTGAAGGCACACGTCTGGTATAGCATCAGCTCTGAGTTCAAACCCAGCTGGTTGATGTCCTAGCTCAATTTAGGCAACACGCCAACCCCTTTTGCAATGCTCACTGATTTTCCCGATGAGCGATGCGTTACTCGTGACGGTAGACATCAAAGAAATAAAGCGATCAGTAATTTCATGCAACTGTTGATCGGTGTTAGTGCATGAACCATCTGATCATTGTTTTTTTTTAATGCTAACTCAAGAATTCGGCTCATTTCGTCCAGATATGGATTAAATAGCAGGATAGGCTTTCTTGTTTGGACAGCAAGCAATTTAAAAGATTTACTGATTTTTTTACGGCTTATCGGCACTTTGTAAGTTACTTAAAGACAGAAAATATTATGATTGTAAAATGTTTTTGAACATAATAATGATTTATTGATACAAATCCTGCTAATTAACCCATAGATGCGGGGAGAAGAGGTGGATTCATACTTTACCCAGTAGTTTTTAAATGAATATAACGAACCGGAATTGGAATTCGACTCTCCTATATGAAACTGTTATCCAGTACACTACCGATACATACAAGCTTACAGCACCTGGTATTTCCAAGCGGTCACCCATCTAGTTACTGACCAGGTATGATGTTGCTTAACTTCAGTGATCGTACGAGAACCGGTGTTTCAATGTGAAATGGCTGTAAACCTACGTGAAGAAATAGCAGTTTAAAAGAATGAAAGTTCTGAAGAAGGCAATGGGAAACCTCTCAGCTTTCTTTCTCGAAACTGCATACAGTAATTCACATAAAATAAAGAAAAAGAATTTTTGTAAAACGACCAGAAAAGAAATGGCTTAAAAAATAAAATAAATCATGGTACTGTCTTTCACTCTTTCATTTTCTCTCTCGCTTTCTCTCACCAACACACACGCATACACACACTCACACACATACACGTACACCTATATGTTAGGCCATAGCATCAATAATTTCTGAAATTTAGTAATGTCGGACTGTGGAGTTTGTGTTAATAGATTAAATTATATTGATCAAAAAATTGTTGAGCAAATTAGGCTGCGTGATGAAATTAACAATTTCCTCTCACATAGAATAAGGACAGCATGAGAAACAACAGTTTTTGCACAACAATAAATAAAATATTTATATAACAAAGAGGTACAAACAACTGGAGTAAAAAGGTAGTTTTAAAAGGTTCAAACGTCCTTTTATGTTTAGATGAAAAGTTATTAAAGTTCTGGTTTGATAAATTATAATTTTTTTGAATGGTTTGTACAATGAGAAAGTGTTTTGGTTTTATAGTAATTTAAGAAAAAATAAACAGTTCAAGTTTGTATTTGAAATAGAGAAATATTGTTTACGGTTTACTTTAAGGTTTACGGAATTGTCGCTCTTTGATTTGTTTTCACTTGTTCGAAGAGAATATTCTAGTTGGGGTAAGTGGTTCTTAAGCTGTGTTTTTTTTGTTAATTGCAATAATTAATGTTGAGTTTGAAAGCGTATGAAAAAGATTTGTGTATTAAGTTGAATGTGGAAAACTTGAGTTGATTGTTCGTCATAAAATATTGCTGTGTGAATGAGTGTTCTCTCAGGCTGGAATCGTGTTAAGGAACTTTAACGTAAAGCCTGGAACTGTGTGACGAATTCAAAGGATTCCGATCGGTGCACTGTCGAAGATGAAAGACGTTTCATATTTTATTACTAACTTTGGTCACGTGATTGACTCACAGAAGCTTGATAGGTTTTGGCAGAATTATCTTTTTGGTCAGGTCAAGAACTGGGTCGATGTTATTAAATATTAAGTGACCAATTAGAAGTTGAAATTTTCTGAAAATATACATTAAGCTGGATAAGCTCTGTGATCCCCTTTTTTTTACGAAAATTGATATTGATATTCGGGCATGATTTAAATATTAAATGACCAATTAGAAGTTGAGGTTTTCTGAAAATATTTACTAAGCTGGATAAGCTCTGTGATCCCTTTTTTTTACGAAAATTGATATTGATAAAAAAGGTGGTAGCGGGATGCTAAAGGGCTATATTATATTTTAAAATATCTAAATTGGAAAAAATTGTGTTCATACGATTTATACTAATAGTAATTTATACTAATTCTATAATAAAACATATAATTATCCTAATTTATACTAACACTAATTTATGATAATTTCATTTTCCTAAAGATGGCCATATCTGCGGGGCACAGAAGAAAAGTGATGTTCTGAGTTTTGATATTGTTGTAAAAGCAATCCGAAATACGCGTATGGTGTTTATAGGATAGATTATCTTCAAGGAAAGCTGAAGATGGTTTGAAAGATTTCGAAAAGATTTATAATTGATCCACAGATTATTCGGTAAAGTTTAACGAGAACATGCTTTTGTGTGAACTCGTTAGATTTAATGTTGTTCGAAGGAGAGTTATTTAAAAACTGAATTCAATTCATTCCGCAGTTCACCACCAACTGACATATCGTGACAATGTGCCGGAACTTGTAAAATGGATTCTCAAATATTTGACAACAATAGAACAAATGCACTCTCAAGAATTCATTTCGCCAATTTTGATGATAAAAAATGGACATTTTGAAAAACCATAAAGCGACGCTATAGTGTCTATATAGAGAATAGCTTCATGGGAGGGAACAGGCTTTAACACAATTTAAATGAATTGACATCGAAGGAATTTCTTGGAGTGATTGCGTTGCTGCTGCTCAATTTGAATTGCTACCAGCCATAAGAGTAGATATCAAGTGCCAGAGAAATTGGAGAAGTACTGTTTTGAAGGAAATGAAATCCCGTTTGATTAATCGTAAAGGCGTAGTGTTCCATCATAGCTATATACAATTAAAACTACATCTGAAAAGAATGAAGCCCTCAGCTGCAAAATGATTCGGTGATAACCTTATTCTCAATCTGATTACCAAATATTTTAAAGTTTAGGGATCCGTCTTGATGGACGAGTCTTTGAAACATATGGAAAAGTACATACTTTTTATTCAAATCAAGAATGTTATTATTAAGTTTAAGAATCTTTGAGCTTCCGAGTACCTTTTCTATAAATACTTTCATGGTAATTGTTCGAATGAACTTTCCTCTAAATTGCATTCATTGTAAATATTCATTGTGGTTTCATTTTTAAATTTTGTGATTTTTATCACCCTGGACAAATTGTACATATGAGAACTAGTTAGGACTATATAGAGACCATAAGGTATTATGGTGACTGTAGTAAGAATGGTTATTTTGGTATATGTAAATGTGGTATTTAAGGATCAGTAATCGTGTCTAAGTTTAAGATTTGACAGATTGAAGACCAGCCTTCCCCTATTCCCCCCCTTTTTTTGTAATTGTGCCACATGTTCGTATTACTCAAAATAAATATTACTCTATGTTACTTAGACTTTAAGAATTTAAGCACAGTACTAGATTGGCAGCAATGCCTCGCCATTTTGCTGTTGAAATGGCTAGATGGAACCGTAAGTTCTATGCTAACAGTTTCTTCTTTCGCACTTCTCGTTTGTGGAATTCTTCTGATTTCTTGCTTCCGATTTTTATAATTCAAAAATTTAAATACAATTCCAATCGTTATCTTCTTAATTCTTGTCCTTCATTGTTCTCTCTCCTGAATAGTCTCATATTCTATCACATTTAGTAACCTCTTTCGTTTTAGAGTCTTGTCTGAGGTGAAATGATTCAAAAAGCGTATTATTAATAGTGACGGAACCTACGTTAAAGGATACACTATAAACAAATGTTAATTTCTTAACTGTTTACTGGACAGTACTTATGATAGAGCTGCGATATTCTTCGTGGCCGAACGTTGAACAAATATTCGTCTATTTTCAAAAGTATTCACATTCAAATTTTGAAGAACATATATATATATATATATATATATATATTAAATATATATATATATATATAACAAATAGTTCCAAGGAAGATATTAATCCAAAGAGAGCTCAATGTAATTTACATTTCAAAGCATTATAACATTTAAAAAACTAAAAGCATATATATATATATATATATATTTTCTTGATTGCGCTGGCCGATACAGACTTTTATCACATAAATCTAGCACACCTTAATATCTTCTTCATATATATATATATATATATATTATATTATAAATAAATATTCAAAAATTTCTGAATGGCCATTTCGCTAATTATTATTGAAAGTAAAATTCCTTCAGAACTTGTCAACACTAAAAGTTAGATAAAATAAAAATAAATGAATTTTAATTAAATTAAGAGACCAAAATCAGAGAAAAGTGAAAATAGAGAGAAAAAAAGAAAAAATGAACACAGAGCCTTTTACTCTGTAAAGATCAAATATATATATATATATATATATATATATATATATATATATATATATATATATATATATATATATATAAAATATTGGACATCTATGTATAAGTTTTTACAAGACCAGTCATACTTTGCGTGATATAAACTGAAAAGCTTAGATAGATAGATAGGATAGATAGATAGATAGATAGATAAAGACTTAATTTACTCGTTTCACGAAAAGGCCGGTTTAAAATGTACATCCGGACAAGGAACAAAAATTAAGCCCCTGCAACCGTTTGTTGCGTGGCTTTATTAAAGTATAATTTTCCCCAGTTTGATTATGTCACTTCACAGAGACACGTAATATCTTCAATGATGAGTTTACTGGAATTATTCCAGTACAAAATGAAGCATTATTGATTGAGTATTGTCAAGTGTGAATGATTTTAATGCGAACATTTCAAAATAAAGCAAAATCACAAAGCCTTTTATGTGATCAAAATATTCAGCCAGCTTTATTAAAGACTTTATTGCCTCGTTTCACGAAAGAGTAAATGGTGGTAAACTAAACTGTTCAATACGTTTCGAGAACTATAAATGTATCACTTTCCCCTCTACATCAGTTTGGCGCAAACCTTTTGAAAAAGGCTACTTTTTTCATGAGGGGCTGAAAATTAATGACTATAAAAGTTTTTCGTCGGAAATTTGGAATATTACTGAAAATTTAGAAACTTAATACCGTAATTCCCCATGTATAACACGCATTTTTCTAAAAAAAATAATAAGCAAAATCAGGGGTTCGTATTATGCACAGTTGCAAAATATTTTTAAAAAATGCCGTAAAATAAAATAAAAATTATCATAAAACTAAATTAAAATAATATTATTCTATGTTTAAAACCATTTTTTTTAATAAGAGTAGGAAATAGTGGTCGTATTGAAATTAGAGTGGTACAATTTATTACCAAACAAGGGATGCGTATTATGCATGAGTAAAAGCATTTTCCCACACTTTCAGCACAATATTAGAGGTGCTTATTATGGATGAAGGCGTATTATACATGTGGTGTTACGGTAGTTAACACTGTGAATATAATATCAAATTCTTCTTCTTTGTGCTGTGTCCTTTCAGGGCGTTAGCGATCATGCCTCTCCACAATTTTCAGTCCTTTGTAACTTTCAATAAATTTTATCTTTTTGTTATCTCTCCTAAACACTGTTCCGCCATCCATTTACTCAGGCTTGCTAGATAAGTTATGCTTGGATTTCCTCTGTCCTGTGAATATCGAATTTTCCAAGTACTCTTTTCTCATTATATTCCCCAGGAATTTCAACTATTTCTGATATTAATTATAAGTGGATTTTTTGTTTCCATTTTCTCTAAAACTTTGGTTCGCTCATATTCGGTCCAACGTATTCAAAGTATCTTTCTGTAGAACCACTTATTGCTTCAAATCTCTTCTTCATCTGTGAGACGTTTTTCCAGCATCCATCGCCATATAGAAGGATTGATATTACGTATCATTTCAGTACTTTCTTTGTACTTTTCTTTGTTTCTAACGAAATTTTCCTGTTTCTTAATATATTGCTTAGCATTTGGAAGGCATTATCCGTTATCCCAATGCGCCTTCGGATTTCAATGTCACACTTTCCGCTCTCTGTTAAAACACTTCACAGATATTTAAATTCTTGTATTTGTTTGATTTTTATCTCTCCAATTTATAATTTGCATGGTGTGCTGTTCTTTTTTTATGAAAACCATGTATTTTGTCTTCTTGAAATTGATGTTTAGTCCTTTCTTCTCGCTTTACTTCACTGTCTTCTGTAGGAGTTCTTTTAGTTTATTTTCTGTGTCTGCTATCAACACTGTGTTGTCTGCATATCTTATGTTGTTAAGATTGTGGCCGCCAATAATGAATCCTGGAAGTAAATCCAAATCTCTCAGAATCACCTTACAGTATAGGTTGAATAGTTCCAGTGTGAAGAGACATCCTTGCCTTACACCCATTTCTATTTTTTGTAAATAGGATTTTTACTAATATTAGCGATTGCATTTGAAGAATACTTGGAAGTGAAATAAAAGGAGATGCTCTTCGCCTTTACATTATGTGTTCGCTTTATATATTGGCTATAAAAAAAAGCTACCAAAATTAAATATTGAACATCTATGTTGAAAGAAAATATACACAAGAGAAAATAAAGAAGCTAAATATTTAAAAGACTTAGCTCGATAAGATATGATGGTGTAAGCAGCCAATTATTAGTTCGAAGTTTGAATCGTGAATTTCAATTATGGTATCATGTGCCCAAGAGAAACTCCTTTTTAAAGTTGCTTTATTTGAGAAAATATCGTACCAACTGGAGACTTTCAAAAGCACGAGGAACCAAAATAAAGAATAAATGAGACACTTTATTGGGATGACACTGAAAATTGGAAAATATCGGTAATCGATAGCCTCGCTCTGGTTCGTTTCGACACTGCAAATTAAAAAAGACTAAAATAACAGAACATCTGAAAATAATGGGAAAGGACATAATTCAAAAAAATGCGTATTTCTCTATATCAAGTTCTAAAAGATCATTAACGATTACACTTATTATGAACGTGTCTTCAAAATAAATGGATATATAAAAAGAATACACGGAAGACAAACCAAATAAAAAAAAATAACTTGACTTATTCGATTGTTTCTTCTGAAACGTGTATTCTAAATAAACGACGTTATTTATTTTTTTTTAAAGTTAGTTTCAGATCGTTAATATCATGAACAACTTAAAAATTACGACTGCTTTCTCTTATTGGTGAGGTATGATAACTGTTAGACTACACCAGCGTACTTTTGTCATTACAATAACATTAACTGTTTCCTTATAAATAAATATTCGGTATTCATTGACAGAGCAGCCAATGTTATTTTCGGTTGAAATTTATCAAATCTCTCTCTTGGAAGAGATTTTAGGAATATATGTTTCTCAAGTTCAACTAACGGTTATTGATCTTTCCACTACTTATGGAGGGGGTCTTTCTTAACCTTTTGTTTGAATTAATGTGGAATATCAATATCTTGGTTATGTTAATATTTCTTCGTTGAGTTACATGTGCTAACCATTTTAGTTACTGCTGTTGTTAAAAATCCTCAATTGATGTTGTTTCTGTTACTTTGGGACATTTTTTGTTTGTGATTCTGTAACACCAGTCGACGAGGATGGAAGAAGGACAGTCCTCTCTAAAACCTACAGGCTTCATTCTGTCCAAGCCATTTTTAGCCATTAATTTCTGCTTTTATTTGCCGTGTCCCTTCAGTGGCAGTGGAGAGTAGAACAAACACAACTCAGGAGATACACATCGCGATACAAAAGTTTTGCAATGCCATGATCGCCAACGTCACACAGAAGAAGATATATAATTAAAGAACCTTTGGGAGTGGACATCAGATTTTTTTTACCTGTCGAGGTGGAATCGGGTGTTAAATGTTTACGTATCACTGACGTTGAGTCATGAAGCGAAAACAGAATTTCACATATTCAACTCGCAGTTCAATAAAATGGAACATTGTTTCTTTGTTTTCTGTAATACTTCCAAATAAGTGAAATTGAAATTTGTGGATATTATGATGTTTGGTCATTGAAAATCTGTGTGAATTTGAGATCTGGCCGATAATTATCGATCACCAATTTGATTGCTTCGTTTCGTACGGTTTATCAACCCTATGCAGGTTATTTAAAGCCAGAAAATATTTTTGGTTTTTAAGAATTTTTGAGATAAATAATGATTTACTGATACACTTCATACTAATTAGGACACCTCGATGTGGTGTAATGGCTAGCAGACTTGTCTTGCTAGATCAGCTATTACTGAAATGTGAGTTCGATCCTCACTGAGTGCCCAATACTTTCGGCCTTGTGCCACATGTAAGCTATGCTTGGAAATCATACTAATTAACCCATATATTTTCTAAGGATATTTGAGTGTAAGTGAATATAACGAACCCAACCGGGATTGGAACTCGGCTCTCCAATTAACAATTCCAAGCAATTATTCCTTACTCGTGCATCCAAGTTTACACAGCCTGATAATCCCAAGCGGTCACCCATCGAGGTACTGACTAGGTTTTAAGGTTGCTTAAGTGAGCTGGTATTTTCAACATCTATATCCCTCCAACTTGTAATTACCGTTTCTTTCTATGTAAGTATTTTTTTTTATTAATCTACATATTTTTGTATCAATTTTTTATCTATAAAGAACTAATAGACTTTTCGTAAGCCATCTGTAATTTGGGATATAAATTTATATCATTGCTGCAAAACAGAAAACCCTTTGGCTATTATTTATATCAACATTTGTCGGAAGAGATCGTAAAATGGATGTTTTTTGGGGTTTTTTAAGTCATCGCAAAATATGCGCTTGTCTTTTACTTGAGTAAAATAAAAGAAAACCTGACTATTTGCCTCAAGCAAGAGATTCCGAGAGGAGAATGTAACTGATGGAACTGATAAAAAGAAGTTTCTCACACGCGAACGTAGTCCTAAAAATTGCTCAGTTCCCTTGCCACTTCCTTTCTGGGGCGCTTCAGGCATCAGGGATTCGTCTTTATCTTACGCCTTCGGGTAAAATAGCGAAACACTGCCAGGAGAAATACTCCGTGTTTCTCCATATTGGATTTTGAGGTCATCGAGAACAAAAAAAAAATGGCCACAGACGGCATAATTTCACTAACCCTCAGAGCTCATTGTCCACGTTTTCCTGTTCATATTATGTCATTTTCTTTGACTAACAGAATACCCGTCTTAAGAATAGAGAAAAGTAAGTACTAGTCGAACTTCTCTTTAACTCTAAAATTTCTGTATAAACAACATTTTCAGCAAGAAGTTTATTTTCTAAAGTTCTTTTTGTTATTAAGATAAGTTCACTTGAATTTCCTACTCTAGACATAATTACATACAGAATCATTTGAACAACTTTTTAATATTGATAATTATTATTATTATTATTATTATTATTATTAGGATGGTGAGAAAGAACCCCAAATATAAAATCTATTGTTTTTTTTTCTTTTGTTTTTAATTAATGAATTCCTTAGTCACACTTCCGCTACCATTTAGCGGGTGGGGGGGGGTGATTTAACCTATAAAGTTTGATTATTATTTTTCTTATCGCCATCAACAAGTTGAAGATGTCTTCTATTTTTGGTCGAAGTCATTCTAGATTCGCCTATTTTTTATATGTAAGCTGTGTGAACTTTTATACAATTAATTTGAA